AAGGCTCTCCAAGTCTGCTTCACCCCTCGGGGTGAGGCATCTATTCCCTGGGTCTCGGCCCCTGCCTCGACAGGATGTCTGCCCCCACATATATAAGAGACCACTGCTGTGTTGTCGGTGCGCACCAACACATAGGGATCTCTTTGGCCTGTGAAGAAGTGTTTCAAAGCTAGAAACACAGCCAGCATCTCCAGTCAACTCATGCGCCACGTGAGATGGCGGCCACTCATGACCGCTCCCAACCGGTGAGAGATGCATCCGTCGCTAGCATATGTGGCGACCAGGAGCTCCCAGCACCGGGCCTTGAGATAATAACCAAGGTTTCCTTCACAAGTGTAAGGCACGTAGGCACCGTCGCGCGACCTTGAGCATGCAAAGCGGGTTTCCTCTCAGGGAGAACCACTTGGTCTTAAGCCACCACTGTAGGGGTCTCATGTACAGCAGGCCAAAAATTAAGTCTTAACCCCAGCTCTGCTGTGTGAGCGAGAACGACATTCTCGATGTCAAACCACCATCTGCTCTGATTGAGCGAATATGAACCAATCGTCGATGTGGTTGAGTCGTGAAAGTGTGGGGTGAGAGTGCAAGGCCAAAGGAAGAACTCGGTGTTGGTAAGCTTTTGCCCCCAAAAGCAAACCTCAGGAACTTCCTGTGATGAGGAAGGATGGAGACATGTGCATCCAGTGAAATCACACTTATTTTTCTTCAAATTGAAAATGTACTCACAGGATGTCTTTGAACGGTTAAGATGATCATTCCACTTCTTGAATTCAGCACGAAGCTGTGCAAACAATTTTTCCTCAACGATCAGCTCTCCTGATGATAAGGAGTTGATTTGATCATTGAATCGTTTTAAGGTCTGTAAGAAAAAAATAATTACATTTGTTTTATGATCCTGTTATGTTACCATCAAATAGCAAAAGCATATACTATCAGCATAGTTGAAAAGAAACTCTAGACCAGTGGTCGCCAACCCGATCTCGATCAACTGGTAGATCTTTATCACTGTCCCAGTAGATCCCGAAAAAAACAGTAAAATAAGTACAAAAATGCATTACATTTACGGGGTGATATTAATGTATCACTGAAGGGCGCTGTCTTGAGAAAAGTTTCGATGGCAATGGCATTTTCTTCTCCATATAAAGCGCAACTCTGCTTTGTTTACTATTTAGTCCCTGGAATGTGAATTTTACTTGAAGATCCCCGCCGAAATCCGTATTTTGTATTTTACCACCGGAATGCGATTTTTACAGTGGAACCCTCCTCGAAACGTGATTGGACTAGTTTTATTGCGAAAACCTGGCAACCCTGTTCATAGGCGCCACCTGC